ATAATATATAGTAATGTTTTCAAGGTGAAAGAAGACTAAAAAAATCATAACTATTACTAGAAATATCATTTGGTATGAAACATATTCATATAACCTATACAGGCTGGTCAGCGCATTCACCATTTAATTAAAAACAGTGATATGGTTTAACATGAATTTAGATTGAATGAGAAAAAAATTGCTGAAATACTTTCACCAGCATCTGTAACTGCCTATCTAAGAGTCGAATAATTGAATAATTGTTCAATAATTGGTAGTGTGATGAAAGAAGTTTTATTGAATCTAATAATGATGAAGTTTTATTGAAATAACGAATCGATTTCAGTTCTAAATGATGAAGATTAATTTATGGAAACGATTTATGAAATGTTGCCTGTTCTTCCTGATTAACTTGATCTAAAGTAGGTGAAGATATGACAGTTTGATAACCTTCATCAACAATATAATTTATAAAACAAATATCACAGGTAACTGAAATATGAAATACTTGCATCCACAATAAACATAAAACTTAATACTTTGCCTTTTTGATGAAAGCATTTCAATTTGAAAAAGAACTCCTTTCATCAATATATCTACAATTTTGTTTTATTAAGAGTCATCACATCTACAACATGTTCAGCTGATGGAATCTGTTGGTTTTAAACTTTGCACCCTGTGACTTTACCGTTTAGAAAACATGCTTCATTTCAATATGCTTGGTTCTGCGACGGAATTATTTGATTGTGTCTGTGAATTTTACTGCTGCTGAATTCTTTATTTCACACATTCAAATCTGGGTGATTTGAGTTATTGTTTCGAATAACATGGTAATCCATAAAAATTCGTTTGTGGCTTCATTGGCAGCAATAATTTTAGCTTCTCTAGTAAATGTGACCACCATCCTTTGCCATTGACCAAGCCTGGAAATTATTACTCCGGTGTAAATAATAACAATTTCATTAGTTTATTCTTATTGTCTGAGAGTACAACCACCAAAATCGCGCATCACTGAAATATTTCAATTGGTGCGATATTCCTGATTGCTAAAGGATACAAAGTTGACTAGTCCCCATTAGATATCTCCAAATTCTCGTGGATCTAGTCAGATTTTCTAAACATTGAACTGAATACGAATTGCCCTAATTTTATATTCAATGGCAGAAGAATTATTTTTTCTCTTGAAACTAATGGTTTATTGATAACATTTCTTTCCCCAACAAGAATAGCATTTCTTATAGGCCAATTTTTTTGAATCTAATAATGTGATTTTTTTGAACAAAAAACTGAAATAAGCATCCCCTCGGGCGATATGTAGACACTCGAACGTCTGAGCAAAGACAATTTTTTTTATTTCAATCTTGGCGCTAGTAACTCTAGCGTCTAGCTATAGCTTATAAATGAGGTCATTGAGCGAGCTCATTCTGCGCAAATGCACTAGGAATTGATGTTTTTCCGCAGTATTCAAAGTCAACAAGAAATGGGTATTTCAGCTTGATTCTCCTGAGATTTCGACAACACCCGGTGAAAAGCCGGTATCCGAACATTTTCTGAATGGGGAATAGGTCTTTCTGTTGAAGAAATATTAGGGTATTTCCATTTATGGCGATTGTTTTTGTTGATGCCCACTATATTAGTCATAAAAAAGTAACAGTCGTCATAATGATTTTTTTTGTTCTCTCCATATCATAGGCACTTCAAACTTCAAAGACATACGTTTTCTTTTTCCCTATTGTCGCAAATGTTCAATGCATATTTTACAACACTATGAAGCGACGCGCCACACTTTTTCTTGGTCGATTTTAAATACCAAAGTAGGCATAATACAAACGATTCACAGAGTTTGTGATCGATTTACACTGATTTTTCATTATATATTCACCACAAACATAACAAAACATATCAGGATGGTTAACATATGAACGAGTTAGCCATAATGAAATAGTAATATAAACTGCATCCATGTTATCGTAATAATGACTAATTACGAACAAGACCGGCAAACATTTAAAATGACGATAGTAGAAAAAGTAGAGCTGATGATTTAAAATGACATATGTCAATATATTGTACATTACCTACTTTATCGACCAAAGGCACAAACATAGCTGCACCAAGAAAAATTTTATTTTGTAGGCCTGTGTATGTGTTATTATAATCAAGTTAGTTTCATCATTTATATGAGTGTTTGAGAAAATGAACGTAGATAAATAATGTTCAACCTCAGGTTGAGATGGGCTGATGTGTAGGAATTATCTTATGCAATATTATAATACCTATCAATATGACCGCAGAGATTTGTGTTGCACTCGTAATATGAAATATAATACTGCTATTTAAAAGAAACAATACGCCTACTACTGAAACTAGTTCGGTTCTGTTACATATTGTTTTATAACTTCACTCATAATTTGTCACGGTCGCTAATTTTGTTGTAAATTACGACAAACAGAAATTGAGCGACTTCATAACGATTTTCATGGTATCTTTTCCGAAGATAAGCAGATTCGACGTCGCGTGAGCAGACATCTTTTCGATATTCAGAATTTATCCTATCGTACATGAACGAACTTATTTCCATTTATCACCATTGTTGCTTTCAATCATTGTGAAAATGAAAGTTTCAATCTTGAAGAACAGTTCATATCAAAAAGCATCTTCCCTTACTCGAAGGATAACCTCAATCAAGTTACAGATTTTGAAACTGTTGAAAAAGTCAGAAACTGGGTTGGTTCGATTTAATGAATACAGACCTGGGGTGGAGCTTTGAGAAAGGTGTAAAGTGAAGAAAAAAATAATAGTAAGATGAAATACATTGGAAGAGGAAGAGGGTATAACACAAATGAGAGGAAAAAATATTTATGGACGATCTGAGGTCGGGAAGTGGAAGCGCTTTTTAAGAATAAAGTTTTTAAGGATAAAGAATGGTTCATCCCGAATTCCGGTAAAACTAAGCATGCTATAGAAAAAGTTGAATGGCAAAGTTATTGGTAATAAGATCTCTAACTTTTGTATCAACACTTTTCTACATAAGTTCTAAATGTGTGTGAAATATTGAAAAAAAAATGGTTTTGATTTTTATCTCTTTAATACACTGCAATTCTTCTGATTTGAAATTTTTCAAACCAATTTTCAATCAAAAATTTTTAAAGTCCGTGGCATTTTCTTTCCTTAAAAACTCCACTTTCTTATAGTGTAAAAAGCAATATGCCTACAGTTCTGAACACGCCGTTTCTGAACAGACAATGGGCTTGTTCTCAGTGTACATAACCGAACAATTATTTATTTATTTATTTATTTATTCATTTATTTCACATACACTGTTTTACAGGACAAGTCCTAATTACAAAACAGGAAACACAACATATACAAAAACAAAATTGGTAGTACGAAAGTTTCAATTTTGTTTAATTTTTAATGAAAGAGTTTGTGATATGAATCACAACTGATGGAATGAGATAAAATAATTATAGAAGTAGAAAAAAATCTTAAATGCTGACCAAACTTATACATACATATAAATTCAAACACACAAATACATAAACATTCACATATTAACATTTATACACACATAATTATATCAGTGAATATGAATTCTCTTCGTGAATACATATAAATAATTGTTTTATTAGAGATTATGTATATCAAGGAAACTTGCCTTAATATCAGTAACAGAACAGTTGAAAATATCCACCTTAGTTCCTAAAATATTACATTGTTCACAAATCGTGTACAATGGCGAAAATTTTAGAACATTCGTTCTAGCTGCTGGAAGGTAGAACGTGAATGCGCTTCTGGAAGAAACTCTTGGGACAATGAAATTAGGCTTTTGCAATAATTTCTGACACTTCACTTTATCGTCAATTATTTTATGCAAAAAGATTATTGCATGGTATTTCCTTCGCGTACTGAGTGTGTCCACATTATGTGGACTTGTAAGCGTTTCATGTTGTATGCCTATACGTGGATATATTCCATCAATTCTGAAGCTCAAAAGTTTCAGGAACTTTCGTTGTATAGACTCCAGTTGATCAATGTGTAACTGATAACCAGGATTCCAGACTGTTGATCCATATTCGAGTTTAGATCTTACAACTTATACAATGTTTTCAGAGTTGATAATTAGCTAAATTCCTTTTCAACACGAACAATGAAACCATATACTCTACAGGCAGCGGTTACTGTAGCATTGATATGTGGCACGAAAGTTAGTTGTGAATCAAAGGTTAAGCCAAGGTCAATAAATGTATTGACCTTGCTGTCAAATGTAATTGAAATTGTTTAATTTGTTGAAATCAAACCAATTCACAACATTACGCAAGTTTCTTGCGATGCGTTCACAGTCACCGATGCTGGAAACATAATGAAAAATCTTAAAGTCATCTGCGAACAATAAACCCTCAACATCAATGACATTGGCTATATCATTTATGAACATTGTAAAAAGCAGAGGCCGAAGTATGGAACCTTGGGGCACTCCAGATGAAGCACAGTATTCCATTGATCCCACGGCTAAAAACTCGTTGCTTTCTGCCTATCAAATATGATTCGAAAAGTTTGATGAGCGATGTCGAAAGCTCGAAAGTCCCTTGTTTATTCAATAGAATACCGTGGTCAAGTCTGTTAAACGCTTTAGAGAAGTCCATGTATATCACATCAGTCTGTTTGAGATTATCAATACCCTCAGCAATGTACTGAGTAATACATGTAAGATTAGAAATTGTTGAACGACCTTTCATAAAACCATGTTGGAGTGATGAAATCATGGGATTATTAACATGATGCGAAATTTTTTCATGTAAAACACTTTCAAATACTTTGCAGAAATTACAAATGATCGAGATGGGCCTAAAATTACAAATATCTGATTTATCGCCTTTCTTAAATACTGGGCAAATTTTTGATTGTTTCCACAATGAAGGAATCGTACACGATTTTATGCATATGTTGAACAACAACATAAGAGGACGAGCAAGAATTATCGTCATTAAGATACTTAAATCATAGACGAACGCACACCATGCCTTCACCGGGGCTCGAACCCGTATCCTTCCGCACCATAGTTGGGTGATCTCCCGACTGAGCCACGAAGACTGGCTAGCAATATACATTACTATATTTTAAGAAAATGCGAAACATTTGTCATGATTCTCTTATAGTGACTCTGCCTGGAAGTGTGTGTTATGTATTTTGAATACTGGCTGGTGGTTTTTACACCTGCTATGAGATAACAGGGAGTTGCGAATATATTTTTCCCACAATCAGAAAGAAAAGATTCCAATCAACAAAAAGCTCATTGACTATTCTAGATGACTTAGAGCGAGATCTGGGTTCGAATCCCTGGTAAGACATAGACGTTTGTGAATGTAAATGAGTTTCAACGGTTGAATAAATAAAAATGATATGAATGAATAATGTCCACAGATGACGAACCCAAAAAAAAAGATATTTTGACATGAGGATTTTCTATTGACAATTAGGTTTGCTTTTCGAATTTTAAGTCAGAATGGGGTGAGAAAATTTATATTTGAAATATAAAACATCACGTTTGGGACAAATAAAATTTTTCTTCATGAGAAAATAGATGCGAATACAAGGTTTTAAAAATGAGATAGGCCGGATTTTACCCTCAAAAACGAGATCGCCCGTAAATTATTTTCCTTTTCTTTTCTGAATAATTATTTACTTTTATATTCTCTGCCTTTTCCAATAGATTTCACCATACTATAGAACTCCAAAATTCTAATACATGTTAAGCAACTAACAGCAGGATGTACTTAATCAAGAGCGTTAAGTGCCCTCTGGCACACACAAAATACTAATTGGGAGCCACTTTACTTAAAAATATTTATATTTATGTCAATCGAGTTCATGAATTTCTACGGTAACGTTAATTCTCTTCGATTACTAAACGTTATATTATCAAAATTTCCGTTGCAGCGGTTTTCATATTACCTTCCGTGAAACGTCATTTAAATGAAGTCATTATAAACTCTCACCTTTTGCAAACCCAATCACCATATGCGTATTTTTTTCAGAACGGCTCTATAAATTATTTCATTATTGATTCAGATTAGCTCCACTTTCTCAATTCACAAAACTAATTTTTTGGTAATTTTGAGATAATACGTAATATCCGTCATTATGGAGAACTATCGTTGTTTATTTTCATAATAGTAAACTGATAACTTCATTAAACCTCAATTTTGAACTAGGTCAAACAAAATCACCAACTGTTTCATCATACCGATATTTCAATCTGTTTTCTCCGAATTATAACTTATTTTATCTATACCCTAACCACAAGTCGATACTTTAGACGATGTGGATAACTCTAACCAAAGATTTTCAGGATGTTTTTAATAATAATAATAAGTCTTTATTTGCCTACAGGTAAAAACACCCAGTTACAGGAAACATTCCAAAAAATGTATACAGTATTAACGTCTAAAGAATAATACTCAATGAGAATATACTTCAAAATTCACTATACATGAAAAAAGTCTTAGTAAACCTGACTAATGAAATCAAATGAGTCACTGTTGATATCGCATTCGTCAGACACACCCTCGAAAAGCGAACACATTATATATAATGGGTGATTGTACGAGGGAATTAGTTTTCGGATTATTCAATGAAAAAAATTGACTTGAACTTGAACATTGTCTAGGAACATGCAAATCAATAGAGCCAATAAGGGTAGGAGAGTCTATATAAACATGTAAGAGGCTATACAGAACCTTCAGAGACAACAAGTCCCTGCCAGCTTCGAGTGATTCAGCTCCAAAACTGTCTTAACAGATCAGTTTGCATATATCCTCTGGTCGTATACACGTGATCTTCCTTCCAAATTAAACGTTTGGGAAATTTTTGTTGTATCGACTTCAAATATTTTTATGGGAATTGGTTATGGGAGGCCAAATCATACATCTGGAATGAAATATGCTGTTTACAAGTCCATTAAATAATTGTACAAGTCGATGGGCCGATACTTGATGAAAATCTAAATACATAATTTAAATAAAACTAAGTAGTTTTTTATTTTTTCGCTATAATTAAGTTAAACATAACAATATTGTTTCGCAAACACAGCGGCTTTATCAAAAATTCTCGTTTTATCATCTACATCTGCTGAAGCCACTGTGTTGGCGAAAGAAACAATATTGCTATGTTTAACTCAATTATAGTGAAAATCAAAAAACTTCTTAGTCTTATTTAAATTGTACAAGTATTTTTGTATTCGAAAATTATCCAGCATTACGCACCATAAGATTTGGACGCTGTTGAAATTGTTTTATTTATATGAAGCACAAAAGTGAAGTTTTTGATCAAATATTATACCGAGGTCTCGAATTTCGGAGACCCTGGTCAGAATGTTGTCGTTAATTGTGTAGTCAAATTGTATGAGCCGTTTCTTTTTAGTGAATGTGACAACGTTACATTTAGTTACATTAATATTGAGTTTACTGTGGTAAAACCAATCAGAAACAGCGATGCGGTCAATCTGCAAGCTTATAATATTAATAATAATAATAATAATACTTATAATATTAATAATAATAATAAAGTATATTTAATAATAATAATAATAATAATAATAATAATAATAATAATAATAATAATAATAATAATAATAATAATAATAATAATAATAATAATAATAATAATAATAATAATAATAATAATAATAATAATAATAATAATAATAATAATAATAATATTAATAATAATAATAAAGTATATTTGTACTGCATGACATTGCAATATGCATAGGATACGTCAAGAATATGATTAACAATTACAATCACACAATTAAACAATTTCAGCAGAAAAATATTCTTGCAAGGAATAAAAACAATCAAGTGATAAGACTCTGCAAACTTCGTTCTTGAATTTCGACCGACTCAAGGACTTGATGTGGTTAGGAAGATAGTTGAATGACTTCATGCCCACATTTGCTGGAGAGGATTGAAATTTAGATGTTTTATGAGTCGGAATGGAGATCAAAATTATGCCTCGTGTTGTAGCTGTGGAAACTAGAAATTGTATCAAGCTCTATCAGTTTACTACGAACATACAGCAGACACTGTAAACTTTATATACATGGCAGCGTCAGGATTTTGTGCTTGATGAAAATCGGCCTGCCTGATTCTTGTGGCTTCAGGTTGAAGGTAAATCGAATACATCTTTTTTGCGTTAAAAAAAATTCTGGCACTCGCTGCTGAATCGCCCAATAGGACTACATGGTACTTTGAATTGTTGAAAACCAGAGCGTAATAAGTAGTAAGCAACCCATTCAGAGGTAGCGAGTTCTTAAGTCGACTAATAATAAAAAATGAACTATTCAATTTTTTGTTATTATGGAGTATTTTAGTAGTTTTTGTTTAAATTTTGCGATATATTTCTGAATCATTATCATACATGAGACTATGAACTGCTAGACAGTCTATTAGACCATTTATAATTTTTGAAATGTTGATCGATTGATGAAGTGTTACGCCAGAAATCAGCCGTCATGACTTTAAATATTTCTAAATATCCTCATTCTTTGATTGATCCAATTCATAAGCATTCAACGAACTCTCTTCGTTGATACGGATCATTAGACTGTATTTGTTTTGTTAATTGAGTTTATGAGCATCGAGTCAAAGTTCTTTTGTGAGTATGTAGGGAGGTTTCTTAAATTTGCAAGTCTTATACGGGACGCTGAATAAACGTTCCGAGATTTTCATCAACATTCTCACTAATTGCTTCGATATTTTTTATATTTCAACGAATTGTTTTTCGGTGATCTTCGTCGTCATACTCTTCATTTGATTCAATCTCTCTGAATTTTTCAATTAATAAGCTTAGAGTGATGTCGTTTGTAACACTATCCCTTTCATTAATTAAATCTTCTCGTTATTTTTTTGTTGTTGTTATTTTCTAGTAATAACAACACCCACTGTATTGAATAACATTAAAGCTAGTTAATGCTAATTCTTCTTAACGCTAGTTCTTCTTAAACCATAATTTCCTAGGAGTGACAATGTTTTCATCTCAGAATTACGAAATTTTTATGCGTGAATGATTCAACGACGATCTTACGATTTCTTGACATTGAAGTTCAGTTGTAGATTTCTTTGTAATTTCCAGTCGACGAGCTTTTTATGGGTTACAGCTACTGTTTCAAATCTGGTAGATTAAAAGGAGATTCTCAAATAATTAATTTGGGAAAGTGGTAATTGAAAAATAAAAAAAATAAATTGAATGTTGAGTTAATTAGTGACTTAAGAAATAACATGAACTGAGCTCTTATAATATATATTCGAATAATTATTCATAATACAAAATTCTATATATCATAATTTGAAACGAAATTAATTCAAAACAGCGAATCAACATATTTTTTGTTGATTTCAATGGAATAATTATTTAAAACTGTAATTTTCATGTGCATGTTACTAGCTGCTGTCTGCTTTTTCGTATTGGAATTAGTAATTTTTTAGTATTACTTTGAATGCAATAAAGTATTTTCTACTCCATCGGATCATTAATATTATTATTAATATGAAGTAAAGTTGAGCGGTGTTGTATGATTACTCCTAATAGATTTGAAATTTCAAATAAACATCACCATATTTGGTGATTGATGAAGAAATTTAATTTTTGATTGATATTTCTCGACGAATTGTATCTTCATTCAAACACCAATTGATAGTTTAGATTGAAATGATTAGATAATCATTTCATGAAAAGTTTCCATTAAAATATTCATATGAAGCTGCAATGCGTAGCGAAAAGTCAACTGAATATAAAATTTCTATATTTTGAATTTACTTCTGAGAATCTCAATTTTTAACTATATATATATATATATATATATATATATATATATATATATATATATATATATATATATATATATATATATATATATATATATATATATATATATATATATGTGTGTGTGTGTGTGTATGTGTGTATTATTATTTTTATAGTGAATAGACTATAGGACCTCGGTAGCTTAGCGGTCGAAAGCAGTGGGGCTTAAACCTAAAGAACCTGGGTTCGAATCGCAGTCGAATTCGAAAACTTTTGAAAATGCAATT